ACTGGTACAGGTCCTTGGTGAGGTCGGACAGAAGTTTGGATTTGAATCCCCCGAGTCGGTTGACATACCGCACTGCGGAGACATTGTCCATCCGTAGTACCAGGGAGCAATTGGAGGCGTCCTTGGCGAAGCTACGGATCACGAAGGATCCTGCAATGAGCTCGAGACAATTTATGTGGAGAGCCTGTTCCGATGGAGACCACAGACCTCCTGTGGTGGTTTGGGCACACGTAGCACCCCAACCCAAGAGGCTCGCATCGGATTCCAGAACAAAATCTGGTTGGGACCCGAAAATCGCTTTCCCATTCCAGGCTTCCATGTTGCGAAGCCACCAATGAAGTTCGATGATAACTTCGTCCGTCAGAGAAATTAATTGATCGTAAGAGGCTGAGAAATGCAAGTAGGTTGTTTTCAACCGCTGCATCGCTCTGTAGTGTAAAGGCCTGGGAAATATAGCTTGAATTGATGCGGATAGGAGACCCAGAATGTGTGCAAGGTCGCGGAGCCGAGGCTGTTGTGAAGAAAGCAACTTTTGGATTTCTTTCTTTATGTGTTTTATTTTGGGGTAAGGCAGCTGCAAAGTTGCCTGGACTGAGTCTATTTGAAAGCCCAGAAACTGGACTACCTGAGATGGTTCCAGGTCTGATTTCTGGAAGTTTATGACAAAGCCAAGGTTTTGAAGGAGAGCAGAGGTCATGTGCGTATGTTTGTGAAGCAAATGTTGGTCTTGGGCCATGATCAGAATATCGTCTAGAGATATATGATAGAACGTATTCCCCGAGAGCGGAGTAGTGCCATGACCGGCTTCATTAACTTGGTGAAACACCAAGGGGCGGAGCAAAGCCCGAAAGGAAGGCAGGTGAACTGCCAAATTTCGCCCTGCCAGAGGAATTGAAGGAACGCACGGTGACTTGGTGCGATTGGGACCGTGAGGTAGGCATCCTTGAGGTCGAATCTGGAGAACCAGTCTCCCACGCAGAGCAGGTCCCTGAGAAGATGGATACCTTCCATCTTGAAATGGCGATATGTAAGGAACTGATTCAGTTCCTTGAGGTTGATAATAGGACGGTGATCTCCCGTCTTTTTCCGTACCAGGAACATGTTGCTGATGAAAGTGTAAGGGAAAGGCGAGGGTTCGATCGCCCCTTTGTCTAATAGCTTGTGCAACTCTGAATCTAAGGTCAGTTTGTCTGTTTGTGACATCCCTAAGGATGTTGGAGGGTGGTTCTGAGTGGGGTGTGTGTGAAAATCTATTTTGAAACCCCTGACTGTGTGGAGGATCCAGTGATCCTGAGAGAGTAATTTCCACTGTCGGAAAAAAAGGGTTAATCGACCTGCAATTGACACATTTCTTAAATAAGTAAGGTCCATTACCTGGGATAGAAATCAGGGAAAAGGTTCAGCGCTGATAAGAAACAGGGAGTATAATAACAAGGCAGCACACCTTAAAAAGGGAATCCCCTCTGAACCCCTTAAAGTACAATAGAAAAGAGAGAAAAGAATAAGGGTGCGCCTAAAACAAGTAAAAATAGTAAAATGAGAATAGCAGCAATAACAAAAAATTCGGAAAAATGTCCAAATAATATAAAAAATGGGATAACCACGGTACCTAATAGTCCAAATATAAAATGTCCAAATGCGCAAATGGTGGTCCTAATAGTCCATCAGAAGGGTATGTAGCGTCCCGGATAAGTATAAATATGCGGGGAGAACAGAAGAGAGAAAAACTCCAATGGTGTAGTATAAAAACAGAATATGAATATATAGTAAATATTTGTGGAACTACTCACAATCTTCAGAGCTTAAATCCAGCTCTGGTATGGATAGCGTGAAGTGGAATAATCCCCACTCAAGGATATGTGGTGCTCCTCTTTGGTCCTTTGGTGGAAGGATGGAGTTCAACTCGGGATAAAAATAATAAAAATATATAGTGCTCACTGTGTGGTCGGTGAAACAATAAAAATGAAATAAAATATACTCACGGTATATAGAGCAGACGTACTGCTCGGTGAATGGCGTATGGGTGGTATAATCCCCACCTTAAGGATTCTTTGGTAGTCCAATATGGTCTAAATCGATGGTAGTTAGGTCTGGATAAAATGAACTTACATAGAATAAAATAATAAATAATATGATATAAAAGTGAAAAAGGAATGTGGCACACCAGTGTATAATAGCCAGATATTCCTTTAATGACACTTTGATTTAAAAAAAGAAAGTTTCTATACGCGTTTCGCCACAAAGGCTTCATCAAGTAGAAACAGTATAAAAAAGAAAGGAAACAGACCTAACATACAGTACTTATATAGGAAACATTGAAATACACAATAATTTTAAAATTCCCGCCAAAATGACGTCACCAATCGTCATGGGAGGGAATACAATGCAATATATAAAAAGAATAAAATATACTATAATATAAATATAAATTTCAATGTAATAAATAATGTAAAACATATTTGGTGTAAAAACAATTGAAAACGAGTGCATTAAATATAAGAAATCAAATGAATAAACATGTCACGTGACGCGGAAGTGAATAAAGCCGTGTCACGTGATAGTAAATGGACCGCACGCGTCATCCAGCAATGGAACGCACATGCAGTCTTTACAGAAGACAGCTGCCAGGCATAACCTTATTAGTAAGAAAAGTATCATAACAAGCTGTGTGGTGCTGGTGGTTACGCTGGTAGTGCATCCACCTAGGACTATACACTTCACAAGTTCGAAACCCGACAGGGGCTGACACATATATTTGAGACAACAAATAAACATGAATATATTAATAGCAAAATAAAACATTATTATGAATAGAATATACAAATAAAGGTCCATTACCTGAAGCAGTGCGTCCGTGCGGGGATGCAGAGCCACGTCCTCGAATAGAGCCTCTTGAGCTGAAGAGCTGTCTGTGGTAGGGTCTTGTGGGTCCAGAGGACCAATAATCTGTGGGTCGGGGCCTATAGCCTGCAAAGGCTGCTCTACTGGTAGCTCGGCCCCTGAAGCGACCAGCTCTCCCGGAAAAACGATGGGTTTGGGAGCGGAAGACCCTGTGTAGTGAGGACTGGGCTTTATTAAGCGTTGTGAATACAGAGACATGCTTAGAGAGGTCTCGCATAAAGCTGTCACCAAATAGAAGACCATCTGCGTCTGGTCCCAATTCCTTAGAGCTTAAGTCTATTAATTTAGCGTCAATTTTATAAAGTGCCGCTTTTCGTCTTTCTATTGAAATTGCCACGTTTTCATTGCCTAATAGGCAAAGAGCTCTTTGAGCCCATTCTCTGATAACGTGTGGATCGAATTCACCACTAGTGAGTGCCTCATCTGCCAGGATAAAAATCTGTATTATGGGACCTGAAATGTCCAAAAGCTTGGGCTTGGGCTGCTTTTAACCCTTGCTCTATACCCTTACGAGGGTCTTTGCCAGATTTAGTCAAAAAAGGTGACCAGCATGGGGTCAAATTCAGGGGTAGAGGCAACTTTGCCAGGAATAGTAGGTTTTGGGCATTCTGCCCTCAATTTATTTCTGAGTTCTTTTTCGAGGGGCTTGCGCAGCCACATTTTGCAGTAACTGGCAATGTGATCAGGAGGGGTCCATTCGGCAGACCGTGGGTGACGAATCACCCTTGGATCAAAAAGGGGAAGGCCTGAAGCATCCAGGAGGGTGTCTGAGGCAGGCTCTTTAGATGGGGGGGCACCCTTAGCATCCCGAGCATGAAAAGTTTCCTTAACAAATTCTGATGTTGAGGAATCCTGGGGCACATTCACCGTAGGATCCTCATCAGAGTAGGTGGCAGTGGCGTACTAAGGGGGGGGCGGGGGGGGCGGTCCGCCCCGGGTGCCAGCCGGGTGGGGGGTGCCATGATCAGCCCCCCCCCATATGCTGCAGCCGCCCGAGCGCTCTGTATTGAGCCTCAGGCGGCTGCAGCATTGCCCGGGCGGTGCTTCCATGAGGGCGGACCGCACCGCCCGGGCGCAGCATGGGGAGAGGCTGACAGGAGGGAGCGCTCAGCGCTCCCACCTGTCAGCTCCCTCTCTGTAGCGTGGCGAGCCCTCTATGGTCCGTGGGTACAGGGAGCATCTGTCTCCTGTACCCGGCCGGACTAACAGGAAGTACACACTGAGTGTGCACTTCCTTTTAGTC